CACAAACACTATTAAATCTGCACTGTTCATTGTCAATGTTCCGATCAGTGACCTTGATCAACGCATTCACAAGATGAAAGTGAAACATGCATTGTATTTAACAAGCATGCAATGTATTTGCCAAACATCTGCCACACACACACACACTTCAACACAATAGGTGGATAGCTTCCCACACTACTTGCCTGTCAGCCTCTTGCGGTCAATGTCTCTACGGGCGAGGAGTGCACCAGCTGGGGCTTAAGTGGAATGGGAGTTAATATGAAGCCCCCCCTAATGCCACCAGGCCCTGCCTGCCCATAAGCCCCTTAAGGGATTAACCAAATGGGAGCTCATTGGTGCTTAGACTGGTGAGTTAATGCCCACCCAGTGTGGCACAACTAACCTAGCCCCTGGCCAAGCTAGGCCCACACAGACGCATGGATGCACAGACACACACACACTCACATACATATAGAATACACACTTGCACACAAACACACTTGCACACACACACACAGTTAATGGTCCCATTTGGCTCAGTTGGTAGAGCATGGCGCTTGCAACGCCAGGGTTGTGGGTTCGATTCCCACAGCGGATCCAGTACAACAAAAAGAAAGTATGAAAATGTATGCACTCACTACTGTAAGTCGCTCTGGATAAAAGCATCTTAAATTACTAAAATGTCAACTGTTAATCCCCCCCCCCCCCCCCCCCCCCCCCCCCCCCCACACAAACTTTCTCTTTCCCACACACACCTTTCCACTTGAAATTGCTCTATTGGTACCAAAAGTCTGCACCCGCTGCCAAAGCTTGCACATTTCCTTCAGCTTAGTTGGTTGTAAAAGTCGTGTCATAAAATATGTTAACAGCCTCGTTTAAAATACCCAAATAGCAGAGTGTGATCGGGCATGATTCATAGTAGAGCATAGCACGTGTGGTGGTGGTGACACTAGTTAGTCACTGTGAAGAAACACGTGGCTGGACTCTACGCTCTGTAACAGACAGACACACAGAAAGGGAAGTTGAACACTGTGGACACTGTTTTAAGGAAGTCGATGTGTCGTATTGATGCATTGGGGGTTGTGTAATGTGTGTGCGTGTGTGTGTGTGTGTGTGTGTGTGTGTGTGTGTGTGTGTGTGAAGACAGCAGGTTACATATTAGGGCGGGGAATTGCCAGTGACCTCACTATAGGATATCACAATACTTAGGTGCCGATATATGTATTATGATTCTCACGATTCGATATGTATTGCGATTCGATACTGTGATTTTATTGCGATTAGATGTTTCAAACATATTGTTCACCATATGTCTGCTGCAGAGGGACAAGAGAGAGCCTTGAGAAACAAGTTTTGATCAGTCATGGAAATATAAGTGCTGAAAACAAATTGGATCCCTATTTAAAAAGAAGATGGAGAACAAGCTATTAAGTGTTGGTGCAGGTTCAGCCAACTACCGCAAAAATAATATTGCGATATTGTCAGAACAATACGATATATCGTCAAAAATAATATCCCGATATGTAAGTGTATCGATTCCCGCCCATCACTATTACATATGTACTGATGTTGTGACTCACCCTCTATAGGTCAACATGAGAACTTTGGGCCAATACACACACACACACACACACACACGTTTGAACATAACTCACCATCATGTTGAGTGTCATTGGAAGTTAGAGCCTGTCATCTATGATGTGGTGTCCTTTGTCATGTGACTTGTTGAGACCGTTGGTCATTCTATCTCCACACATAAACTGTCCTATTCTAGTTTTACTATCTCAATGATACCGCTGCTAGCAATAACCTTTTATCGCCCCAACTCCCTCTCTCTTCTTTCTATTCTTTCTCTCTCTAGCTCTCTCTCTTTTTCAGTTCAATGACGCTACATTGGCATCAAAGCATGTCATTCGTAGGTGTATATTGTCAAAGCAAAACAAGAACATAACAGCAACCTTTTTCCCTTTCTCTCCCGCTTCTTTGTTTTACAATTATATTTTTTTAAATGAGCAAATAAAGCAAATGTAACACCCATCCTCTCTTCTCCTCTCAGGGTTTCTTCCGTAGAAGCATCCAGAAGAACATGGTGTACACCTGTCATCGAGAGAAGGGCTGCATCATCAACAAGGTCACCCGCAACCGCTGCCAGTACTGCCGCCTGCAGAAGTGTTTAGAAGTGGGCATGTCCAAGGAGTGTGAGTACTGTTATATCTCTCTCTCTCAATTCAATTTCAATTCAATTTAAGGGGATTTATTGGCATGGGAAACATGTGTTTCTCTCTCTCGTATGTGTGTGCCTGTCTCTTCTGAGTGAATACTGTCTTCCAAGAAATGTCTTCCCGAAGTAGATTTTCAAAGCACCACACACTGACATGACAAAACGTGATGGTTCCAATACATTTCAAGACGTTTTTATATCAAGGAGCAATAATGCATAACCCACCATACCCCATGATGGCTTCCCTCCCTTGGGTCATGCCCTCCTATACATCCATCACACACACTGTATATCCCCCTATAGCCTTCCATGAGGCTAAGCGCTAAAACAATCTCCTAGCACTTTATCCTCTAGGCCCCCTGTAAGTGAGTTATCCTCCTCAGTGTTCCGAGCCGCTGGTTTATAGCAACATTCATCCCAGTCGAGGCCGCTAGGGAAATCAACCACTGCCACCTGGTGGTGGGGAGTATGTTACTACACCTGGGAAGTGGCACAGTGTGTTTTGGTGCTTTTTCTTTTTAATTTATTTTTTCAAAATCAGCTGTGGGGTGTGTGAGTGTTTAAATTGGGATCTATATTCAGTTGTGTAGCTGGGCTGTGCGTGTGTCCAGGGCTGTTTTAAACCCTCTTGATTGACCTTTGTGTCTGTGTGTCTGTGTGTGCCATGACTGATTGGAGCACCAGGCTAATAGTTCTTTAATGGCTTCGTTAGGTTGTGTTTTCTGGGCCCATGCTGGCAGCTCTGTCTCTGGGGAACAACAGTATCTCACACACACCGCACACACACACATAGAGAACAGTGCTACGCTGCCCTGAAGAAAGAGAGCATCTTATTTATCATGGCTCCCTTCTGCTTTCCTTCTTTTCATCCTCTCTCTCGATCGAGGCGCTGACGTGAGCCGAGGAGAGCCGACGAGAGCTCGAGGTCGAGAGCGACGAGAGCGGTAGGCGAGCGAGATCGCGCGATATGATTTGCGCGCAGCGAGCGTGGTATCGGCGAGCAGCGCTCGAGAGCTCCTCGAGTCTCTCTCTCTCTATCTCTCGCTGCTATTATGTCTCTAGCGCTCTCTCTCTAGGGCTCTCTATCTCGCGCTCTCTCTCTCTCTCTCTATCTCTCTCTCTCTCTCTCTCTTCTCTCTCTCTTCTTTCTGCCTCTCTGTTTCATGTGTCATTGTCTTGATTTGGCAGCTCATATTAGAGTGAGGAGATATACATTTACATTTTACATTTTAGTCATTTAGCAGACGCTCTTATCCAGAGCGACTTACAGGAGCAATTAGGGTTAAGTGCCTTGCTCAAGGGCACATTTACGTCATTTAGCAGACGCTCTTAACCAGAGCGACTCACAAATTGGTGCATTCACCCTATAGCCAGTGGGATAACCACTTTACAATTTGTTTTTGGGGGGGGGGGGGTGGGGGGTAGAAGGATTACTTTATCCTATCCCAGGTATTCCTTAAAGAGGTGGGGTTTCAAATGTCTCCGGAAGGTGGTGAGTGACTCCGCTGTCCTGGCGTCGTGAGGGAGCTTGTTCCACCATTGGGGTGCCAGAGCAGCGAACAGTTTTGACTGGGCTGAGCGGGAACTATGCTTCCGCAGAGGAAGGGGAGCCAGCAGGCCAGAGGTGGATGAACGCAATGCCCTCGTTTGGGTGTAGGGACTGATCAGAGCCCGAAGGTACAGAGGTGCCGTTCCCCTCACTGCTCCATAGGCAAGCACCATGGTCTTGTAACGGATGCGAGCTTCAACTGGAAGCCAGTGGAGTGTGCGGAGGAGGGGGGTGACGTGAGAGAACTTGGGAAGGTTGAACACCAGACGGGCTGCGGCGTTCTGGATGAGTTGTAGGGGTTTAATGGCACAGGCAGGGAGGCCAGCCAACAGCGAGTTGCAGTAATGATATAGATATTACATGTGGAGATATAGTGAGCTGCCAGAGGAGGATGGATAGAATGTAGAGAGATGGGGAAGGAAGGTGAAAGAGAGACAGAGGAAAGAGAGGGAGCGAGAGTGTGTGCATGCCTGTGTGTGTTTGGGGTGTGTTCACACAAATGTGTGTCACATCCACTTGTTTGTGTGCTTGTGTTGATACTGTTTGGAGGCAGAGAGTTAGTCCCATCTCTCCAATGTCTCCCTGTCTGTATTGTGCCAGATCAGCGGCACACAGATTCTCCTTCTTAAGCTCTTTTTACACTGACACGTCAAAGCACTTCAGCTCTCTCCCCTCTCTCTCTCCCACATACTTTCACTCTCACCTCTCTCCTCTCCTTGCCATATTCTCACAAACAAGAGGCACTCACCTTGTGTTCTCTTCCTCCCTTCACTCTTTTTTCTATATCTTATCTCGCCCTCTTTGGGTTCCTCTCTCTCTATTCTTCTCTCTAGCTCTCCGATCTTCTCTCTCTCTGTCATCGTCTCTGTCTCTGCTAGTCTCTGTCTCTGTCTCTGTCTCTGTCTCTGTCTCTGTCTCTGTGCCAGGGTGAGGATGGAAAAATGTAGTATATGGTTCCATCTAGTGGTGGACGTTAGATATTCCCCCACCACACAAGTGTCCCATGTTATCAGCATGTGGGTTTCCAGTAGTGTCTGGTCTCAGGGATAGCGGTCATCCTTCTGACTGCTCTGTGTTGTCTCTTTGGTTGGAGATGGCATCCAATGTGAGGATTGTGAGGTTGACCTGGAGGTGTTAATTTTCACACAAAATCCCAGAAAATTGCCATTTGAGTCCAAAGGATAACTCTCTCTCTCTCTCTCTCTCTCTCCCTCCATTTCTTCATCTCCTTCTATCCCTCTCTCAGCGGTGAGGAACGACAGGAACAAGAAGAAGAAGGAGGAGAAGAAGCCAGAGTGTTCGGAGATCTACGTGCTGAGTACCGAGACAGAGCAGATGATCGAACGCGTCCGCAAGGCCCATAAGGAGACGTTTCCCTCGCTCTGTCAGCTGGGCAAATACACCACGGTGAATTATACACACACACGCATGCACGCACACACACACACACTGACAAGTTACACAAACACGCACACAAACATTACCCTCACTCTGCCAACATGTTTGGGTATACCAAACACTGACAAACATACGCACTCCTTGCGCTCTCAACATATCAACCGATGTATTTGTAGAATCACAGACTAACCTATATGTATCTCCCTCTCTCTTCCTATAGAATAACAGTGCAGAGCACCGCGTGGCTCTAGACGTGAACCTGTGGGATAAGTTCAGTGAGCTGTCCACTAAGTGTATCATCAAGACGGTGGAGTTTGCCAAGCATCTGCCAGGCTTCACCACCCTCACTATCGCTGACCAGATCACCCTGCTCAAGGCTGCCTGTCTGGACATACTGGTGAGAACACACACACACTAGGACATAGACACACACACACACTAGGACATACATACATGTATTATAAACAGTAAAACATCTACAGAAAGTGAACAACAGTATAAAATATATTTGTGCTCCCCCTCCCTTTCCAATCAACTCAGTGGCCTTGTGGTTAGTGTCCGTCCTGAGATTGGAAGGTTGGGAGTTCGATCCCCGGTCCGAGTCCTAAACAAAAAAATGGGACCCAATGCGTCTCTGCTTGGCACTCAGCATTAAGGAGATAGATTGGGGGTAAGGCCCTGTGATAGACTAGCATCCTGTCTTGGGGGTTTACTTGTCCATCAAGCTGCCTCACGCTACAGAAACAGGAGATCTGCTTCGATGAGCCATTTCGGCTCGCCCCACCCAAAGCTCATGCAAGACTTACTTACTTCCTTCCTCCTTTTCCCCCTCTCCCTCCTTCCCTCCTTCCCTCTCTCTACCTCTCAATCCCTCCATCTCAGATTCTGAGGATATGCACACGGTACACTCCAGACCAGGACACCATGACCTTCTCAGACGGGCTGACCCTGAACAGGACCCAGATGCACAACGCAGGCTTCGGCCCGCTCACAGACCTGGTGTTCGCCTTCGCCCAAACACTCCTCCCTCTGGAGATGGACGACGCAGAGACCGGCCTTCTCAGCGGCATCTGTCTGCTTTGTGGAGGTACTGCACCACTGCTCAGATTCAAATCCAGCATTGCACTCCTATCAGAGCCAGGAGTTGAGATCCCAAGAGGCCAATTGTCATTGTTTTAGAGTACAAGCAAGTCTCAGCTGTGGCATAGGAACTAGTGTGTTTGTCAGCTGTGTGTATTACTAGTGTGAAAATGGGAGTTTGCCTAATAAATACTTCATGTGAAGCTACTGTTACCATGCTGCTGTGTGAATCGTGCCACTGTTGGACGCGCTTTTTGAGCATAAAGATTGGGTATTAAGGATGTGTTTTTCATTGTTTTGTGTGTGTGTGCGTGCCTGTGTGTGTGCCTGTGTGTGCGCGACTGTGTGTGTGTGTGTGTGTGTGCCTGTGTGTGTGTGTGTGTGTGTGTGTGTGTGTGTGTGTGTGTGTGTGTGTGTGTGTGTGTGTGTGTGTGTGTGTGTGTGTGTGTGTGTGTGTGTGTAGACCGTCAGGATCTGGAGCAGGCAGACAAGGTGGATGTGCTCCAGGAGCCCCTACTGGAGGCTCTGAAGATCTACGTGAGGAAGAGGAGGCCTCATAAACCACACATGTTCCCCAAGATGCTGATGAAGATCACTGACCTCAGGAGCATCAGCGCCAAGGGTGAGAGAGCACGCCTATATACTGCGTTGTTTTTTTTATAGGGTAGCTTTAGTGTAGCTTAAACTTCTTCCAGTGTGAAGTCATTGGTAGCTTGGTAAACTGTACCTTCCCCAACACTGATATTTGGCGCGCATGCTGCCCAAATTGCGGCCTTCCCGACTGTAGACGTACCAGTAACTGCCAAAATAAAGGAAATGCTTGAGTAAATGAGGGATACAAAGTATATGTTATGGTGTGCATGTTCCTGGCAGGGTTTAGGTCCACTTGTAGAATCTATGCCAAAGTGCATTGAAGAGGTTTCTGGCAGCTCGTGGTGGCCCAACACCCTTTTAAGACTCTTTATGTTGGTGTTTCCTTTGTTTTGGCAGTTACCTATATGTGAAAGGGAAAGGGGGATACCTAGTCAGTTGTACAACTGAATGCATTCAACTGAAATGTGTCTTCCGAATTTAACCCAACCACTCTGCTTGTGACTTAATCGACAGTACATTTTTTTGAAACTATTGATAATCTGTGGCTAAATTATGCCCTCATTGAGAGTTGGCTCCTGTGGTTGTATATTTGTTTTAGTTTTTTGCCGCTTGGGCCCCCTACGGGCTTGGGCCCAGGGACTTCAGCCCCTGTAAACCCCTGCATTAATCCGGCCCTAGTCTCAGTGCAACAATACTGCCATTTATATCTATATCATGTGTCATTTATTTGAAGATGACTATTTAGGGTCTTACATACAACATTTTGCTGTAGTGGCAGAATCTTGTGGAACACATAACATATGACCCTCTCTCTCTGCCTCTCTCTTCTTCTCCCTCCCTCTCCTCTTCCAGGAGCGGAGCGAGTGATCACTCTGAAGATGGAGATCCCAGGCTCCATGCCCCCACTCATCCAGGAGATGCTGGAGAACTCAGAGGGTCTGGAGGGCCAGGGGGCCAGCGGGGGCCGCTCCAGCGGAGGAGGGGCCCCACCAGGCAGCTGCAGCCCCAGCCTGTCCCCCAGCTCAGCCCGCAGCAGCCCGCCTGCACCCTCCCCTTAGACGGGGGTCCACTGCCACCCCCCAGGCAGAGACAGCCAGAAGGCATGACTACAGACGGAGCCAGCAAGCTGACAGACTCCCACACTGTGACAAACCAGGGTTAGGAAAAGAGCCAGACCTGGGCCCAACCAGGACGGACTTTGACACTTTGAGGACACGCAGGCCTCAATGGACAGACAGCCGTCCCCCTATCTCAGCCCCAGTCCGAGCATTAAAACTGGGCCGAACCCGAACCCATACTTGACTGAACAATAGGGGGGTCCCATCTCACCTGGATGGCACTATCTCCATCACCCCCCCCAACCCACAACCACCATAGACATGCCTCAGAACCAGCACCAGGGATCAGCAGCCGCCACACAAGGAGTTTAATCTGAGATGTTCTGTTTACTCTCCTCAGTGATGACTCTGCTCCTCCTCTCTCTCCCCCTCAAGACGTTGGACAGGAGTTCAGGCTCAGTGCCCGTCAGACTTGGAGTAATGGGGTAGACAAGACGCACGTCTTTCTGCAGGAAACTAGTCAGACAGACTGACAGACAGACAGCTGGACATTGGGCACGAGTCATCCCTAAATGTTGGCAGGGACAGCTAACGGGGGGCTCAGATAGGGGGCCTGTCTCTCCTTCTCCTTTACAACTTTGTTTTTTTTCTTACAAAAGATATATGGAAATATAAATATATATATGGAAAAATTAATGATTGCAATTTGAATTGTCCTAAGTGGAATGATGCATAAAAGAAGAGTTGCTATCTTTTTTCCTGTTTTTTTCTCACTGTTCTTCGAACATAGATGCATTTGTGATTCCCCCCTAACCCCCACCTCCCCAGACCTAGTGTTTTGTTATCTTGGTTTCACCCAGGAAAATCGGCACACTAAGTAGTCACAGTGGAAATGTGTGTTTTTCTATCAAATCAATAGAGAAGTAGAACAAAAATGATGACACGATTTCAGATGCAATTCACTTTATGCACTAGACCTCTTGCACTGTCACGTTCACAGGTTGGATCAAATTGACACACAAAACACAAATAGGACCAGGTTGGGTTGGCAACTCTGTTTTGTTCCGTTTACAGTATTTTATTTTTCATGGGAGAAAAATAAAATAAAACGTAGTGTTTCTATGATCTAGAGTCAAGTCGTTGTGGAGTAATGAAGATGATCTGTAAGAAAATACCAGCCATTACATAATGTACGTAAGATGTATTCCTTCTTTTTAAAGTACATGAAGTCTAGCCCTTTTGACATTGTCAAAGCCTTTTATGTTTTGCTTTTTGTTCTTGTTTTGGTATCTGAAGTGAAGGCATTGATCACTGATCAACTGTTTAGACCACTTAAGGAAGGGACTGACTTCTAGCAACACCATAGCCGTTGACAACCAGTAAAGAGAGTTGAATTTCTACTTCACCTGAAATAAAAAGGAAAGATTTATGACAATTTAATGACCAACAACTCCGTGATCCCCTTCTCCCCCCTTTCCCAAGGTGGTCCCTCCCTCATTCCATGTCTGGATAGTGTATGTATTGCCCCCCAACAGCACTGCCTCTGTAACGCATTACCTATCTTCACAACACCACTGCCTCTGTAATGCAGCACATTGTCAATATCTATGCCCTCCCACTACCCCCCACCGTCAGTCCCAAACTGTACCACGTTACCAGTATGCTCACAACACCACTGCCTATGTAGCACATTGTCAGTAGGATGTATCTATCTATGTCCATGTAAACTCTGTGACACGATATCAGTATGCTCACAACACCTCTGCCTCTGTATGTATGTATACATGTTCCCCATCTATCTACTCCTCCCCCACAACACAACAGCACTGCCTCTGTAAGTCTGTTTCACAGTATCAGCACCTCTCTATCTCTTTATCTATCACAACAACGCAACTGCCTCTGTTTACACACTATCAGTATTTATCGGTCTGTCATCCCAGACTCTTGTGACACATCCGATCAGTTTGCCCTAGATCAGTTTGTGCATTACAATGAAATAGGAGTTGTCAAGACAGCACAAACTGATCTGGGATCAGGCTAGCTATTCCCCCACCTCTAACCACTGTTTACACACACTAGTGTAACCTACCTACCCATCTCCTTTCCCCACAACACCACTGACTCTGCTGTTCAATAGGAGTGGATCTGTGTTTCACAATGGATCGAACGCTGCTCGTGGCCAACCTCACTGCAGCCAATATCACAACGCACAACTGTTTTTTCCCTGCACTCTCACTTGTAATGCAATCAGATGCACAACCAGCATTTGGGGATAAAATAAATAACTGTTTTGATTATGTCAGATCATTGAACGAAGAGAATAACATTGAATAAAGAACCCTGTCTGTGTGTTTTTAAATGTTTCTTAACTGGGGGTGGGTCCACCATTAGGCTGAAAATAAGATTGTGGTGGGACTTTAAGAGCAGTATTTCAGTGGGCCTGGGACTATATAGCAGGTCACGTTACAAGAACAAATACAAGGTTCAGAGACCCTTTAAGGGTTATACTACAATTTCTGTTTGGTGGGGGGGAATTCGTTTTTAGGTTCCTTATTGGCCCCTCAATTTAGTTTAGACAATACACTGAGTGTACAAACATAAGGAAGACCTGCTCTTTCCATGACAGACTGACCAGGTGAATGAAGGTGAAAGTTATGATCCCTTACTGATTGTTAAATCCACTTCAATCAGTGTAGATGAAGGAGGAGACAGGTTAAAGAAGGATTTTTAAGCCTTGAGACATGACATGATTGTGTGTTTGCGCCGTTCAGACGGTGAATGACAAAGATTTAAGTGCCTTTGAACGGGGTATGGTAGTGGGTGCCAGGTGTACCGGTTTGTGTCAAGAACTGCAACGCTGCTGGGTTTTTCATGCTCAGCAGATTCCCGTCTGTATCAAGAATGGTCCACCACCCAAAGGACATCCAGCCAACTTCACACAACTGTTGGGAGCATTCATGGGCCAGCATCTCTGTGGAACGCTTTTTACACCTTGTAGACTCCATTCCCCGAAGAATTGAGGCTGTTCTGAGCGCAAAACAAAATATTAGGAAGGTCATCATTTTGTACACTCAGTGTGTAAATACAGTGTATATATATTATTGCAATATTTACCCCAGAGTTAACTGTTTTTAAATTACAATACGATGGATGAGCAAAACAAAAAATTCTGATTAACCAAAATTGAGAGTTAAATGACCATGCTCTGGCAATGCTACCCCCATGTACATGCTAATACTGGAAAGTGTCTGGAAGGTCACACATTGACCTCTTGTACTGGAAAGTGTCTGGAAGGTCACACATTGACCTCTTGTACTGGAAAGTGTCTGGAAGGTCACACATTGACCTCTTGTACTGGAAAGTGTCTGGAAGGTCACACATTGACCTCTTGTACTGGAAAGTGTCTGGAAGGTCACACATTGACCTCTTGTACTGGAAAGTGTCTGGAAGGTCACACATTGACCTCTTGTACATGGGGGTAGCATTGCCAGAGCATGGTCATTTAACTCTCAATTTTGGTTAATCAGAATTTTTGTTTTGCTCATCCATCGTTTTGTAACTTAAAAGCAGTTAAATCTGGGGTAAATATTGCAATCATTTACTGCCAAGTGTTGGTGAGAATACTAGCAGATATTGGAGGACATTAGAAGGATGAAGATGGTGAGTCTTTGTGTATTACAGTAACTAAGTTGTCATAAAGAAAGGTCTTTCAAGTGCCTTACATGAACAACATTAGATTATATATATAGACAGGTATCTGTTGTCTCTGTGCCTTCTGCTTTTTACAAATACAGTATGTGTCACGATCGTCGAAATGAGTGGACCAAGGCGCAGCGTGATATGCGTACATCTTCTTTAATAGAGTACTGGCAACACGATACAAAATAACAAAACGAAACGTGAAGTCCTCGGTTAACAAACACAAACCTACACGGAACAAGATCCCACAAAACACAAGTGCACAACAGGCTGCCTAAGTATTGGTCCCAATCAGAGACAACAAGCAACAGCTGATTCTCGTTGCCTCTGATTGAGAACCACCCCGGCCAACATAGAACCACATAACCTAGAACAGAACATAGAAAACGAAACATAGACACTACACAAAGAAACTAACACCCTGGCTCAACATACAAGAGTCCCCAGAGCCAGGGCGTGACAGTATGATATTGTCTCTGTCTAGCCTAGCCTCGTTTCAATAGGGTATTATTTATATATTTGACATATTAATGTCTGCAATGCAATTTTAACAGCTAATTTGTGCATTTTGGTCTCCATGAACATTGCTCACGAGCGACTTGTTAGACAGTCACAAAATCAAACTGACCTATAACAAAGGACTAATTTCCAGTTCTCATGGCTACTTTCTAGTCTCACACAACTGTGACTACAAGGTTAAAAGTTGATGTGCTTTGTGTACATATCCTGGAAAAGTTGAGCAATTATTAACTTCGATAGAAAATGTAGCAAAATAGGATCTTGAAACTGTGGAGAGGATAACACCTGATTAATTCTGATATTGCCGTTTACATATTTATTCATGGTCTAGAATCCTCTTTCAAGTCATGCGAGAAACAAATGTCATTTTATTTGGAATGGCAAACCAGATAAAGTTAAACGGGCATATTTATCTAACGAACATGAGTTTGGAGGGTTTAAACCAGCGTTGGGGTCAATTTCAATTATTGAATTCACTTATGAAGTGGAGAATTTACATTGTTTACATTTTGAATTGAATTGAATCTTCAAGTTTTGGAATTGAAATTGAACTGTTTGGACTGTTTTGAATTAGAATTAAATTAGAATTCAATATTTGTACATATCCCAGTAAATGGAATGGATGCTGAGTGGCACAGTGGTGGCACAGTGGTCTAAGGCACCTCCTGAGTGGCATAGTGGTCTAAGGCACTGCATCGCACTGTGCCACTAGAGATCCTGGTTCGAATCCAGGCTCTGTCGCAGCTGGCCGCGACCGGGAGACTCATGGGCGGCGCACAATTGGCCCAGCGTCGTCCAGGGTAGGGGAGGGAATGGCCGGCAGGGATGTAGCTCAGTTGATAGAGCATGGCGTTTGCAACGCCAGGGTTGTAGGTTCGTT